GGAGTACAAAATGAAGCAGGACAAAGGATAAAGAATTTTGTCAAGATAACTCACTGGACATAGCATATATTTTTTCAACAACCCAAAAGACATCTCTACACATGGACATGGCCAGATGGTCAATATCAAAATCAGATTGATTATACACTTTGCAGTCAAAGGTGGACAAGCTCTATACAGTTAGTTAAAATAAGACCTGGAGTTGTCTGAGGCTCAGATCATGAGCTGCTTACTACAAAATTCAGTTTTAAATTGAAGAAGGTAGGGAAAACCATTAGACATATAGGTATGACCTAAATAAGATTTCTTATGAGTATGAGGTGGAGGTGATGAATAGATTTAAGAGATTAGATATGGTAGATAGAATGCCTGAAGAACTATGGCCAGAGGTCTGCAACATTGTGCAGGAAGCAGCAACAAAAAACATTCCAGAGAAAGAGAAGAGCCAAAAAGCAAGAGGGCTGTCTGATGAGGCTTTATAAATAGCTGAGGAAAGAAGGAAAGCAAAAAGGAAAGGAGAAAGGGAAAGATATACCCAACTGAATGCAGAATTCCAGAGAATAGCAAGGAGAGAGAAAGTTTTCTTAAATGAGCAATGCAAAGACAAGAGGTCTCTTCAAGAAGAGATACTAATGCCCCCATTGAAGCCATTGACAATGGCTGCTGCCTTTACAGCCCCACAGTCCAAATGACCTGCCTTCCTGACCGTGGCAAAACACAGTGTTCAGAAAGATCTTTTTACTCCATTCACCATCTGCATAGATTTTCATACCATATTAGAAGAGTGAATAAATCCTCATATAATGAAGCAAATCAGGTAAAGAGGTGAATGAAAATGAACAGGCAATGAAATCCTGAACTGAAATGTAGTTTACCCCATCATAGCGCTTTTTCAATTGCCCATGCTACCCACGTATATTAAAATCCTCTTTGTTTTTCTTCCTGGAAATAGATAGAATAATAAATTAGCTTTGATCATTATCAGTTTTCATGCTAACACAAAAGATATCTGACTCTGGTTGAGACAAAACACAACAGAAGGGAAAAAATAGCAAATAGTATGCTTCAATCTGCATTCAAACTCCATAGTTCTTTCTGTGGATGTGGACAGCATTTTCCATCATGAGGCTTTTGGAGATGTCTTAGATTCTTATATTGCTGAGAAGTGTATCAATATTAGTCATCGCACAACGTGGCTGTGACTGTGTACAACTTTTTCCTGGTTCTGCTCACTTCACTCAGCATCAGACCATACAAGTCTTTCCAGGTTTTTCTGAATCTGCCTGCTCATCATTTCTTGTAGCACAATAGTGTTCCATTACATTTATATACCACAACTTGTTCAGCCGTTCCCCAATTGATGGGCATCCTCTCAATCTCCAATTCTTCACCACCACAAAAAGAGCTGCTATAAATATTTTTGTACATGTGGGTCCTTTTCCCATTTGCATGATCTCTTTGGGATACAGCCCTAGAAGTGCTATTGCTGGGTCAAAGGATATGCACATTTTTATAGCCCTTTGGGCATAGTTCCAAATTGCTCTCCAAAATGGTTGGATCATTTCACAACTCCACCAACAATGCATTGGTGTTCCAATTTTCCCACATCTTCTCCATGATTTCTCATTTTCCTGTTTTGTCATGTTGGCCAATCTGACAGGTGTAATGTGTTGTTTTGATCTGCATTTCTCTAATCTAGTGATTTAGAGCATTTTTTTCATATGATTATAAATGGCTTTAATTTCTTCATCTGAAGAAATATTCATCTTCATCTGAAAACTGCCTGTTCATATCCTTTGACCCTTTATCAATTGGGGAATGACTTGTATTCTTATAAATTTGACTTAATTCTCTATATATTTTAGAAATAAGGCCCTTACCAGAGGTACTGGTTGTAAAAATTCTTTCCCAGTCATTCTTCCTCTTAACAACATTATGTTCTCTGTGTGTACTTGTTTCACTGCTGAATTTGATGAATTTCTACTACAAAGACTGTGCATTTGTATGTGTTAAACCCTCTTTTCTCCATTTCAGATAAAAGAAGCTTCATCTGATGCCCATTCCCTTCACACCTTCTCCTGTCTTTGCATATTTTTCTCACATACTCCAATTATGAGAAATATCAAGTTCTACCCTCTTATTTCTCCTTTCTACACTAGTGTATTCTTCCTTTTGTTCTCCCTTCTCATTTTTCCAATAAACCCTCAGAACCCCAGGACATCTGTGTTTCTTATTTAACTCTCTCAATACCCTTTGAGGACATTAAGGTTCTAAAAGGACATTTGTTTCTTTACTCCCTATTTAAATGTTAGCATTATATCATTACACAGCTTTTTTATATACAGCTACAATATACATCCAATTGCTTAAATACATTTTCTTTTCTAGGTTTTTTGGGACTCATGTTTATATTTCAAAATTATTACTCAGCTCTAGGCTTCTTATCAGAAATGTTTGGTGGTGCTCCATTCCATTAAAATTCCATTGTTAGCTCTGTAGAATGAGACTAACTTTTCAAGTCAAGGCACTCTTGGTTGGAAGCCTATCTCTTTGATGTGGGAAATCTGGATTTTGACCAATGACATGCCTCTAGGCTTCTGGCTGAACTCTTGTGTAGTTTAGGGGTGAAAGAAGTTTTTTATTGGATTTCCTGATCATTATTCTGTCTGGTATAAACTGCAGAATATTGCTGGAATAGGTCTGTGTTAACTGGACAGTGTGCCTCCATCTTAGCAGCAAGTCTCCTCTTCTTTTTCTCTCCCCATTTTAAAAATGGTTGAAGAGGAGAGGGGAAATAAAAGACTAAAGGTGGAAAAAGGAACTCAAAATGGAAAGGAGAACCATTCTAGAATCATAGGATTTTCAAATGGAAGGGAAGTCAGGCATAGTCTAATCCAGTTACTGTTTTTGCTTTGCTTCAAAGTCATGAAACTGGTCATAGTCATAAACTATGGGGTGAGATATTTTTTTAAAACCCCAAATACCTGAAAATTCTTCAATATATGTTAGTAGATTTTTGTAGATGAAGCTTACTGTGTTAAGGAGCTGTGCCCACAAGAAACATACTATACAGTTACAGAGACAGGATATATATATATGATAACAAGAGTTGGTGTTATTTGTCCTTTATTCTTGAAGAGGACCATGACATCAGGGAAGTGATGCCATGATGTGTGAATGAATTTGATATAAGTGAGGGAGGGCTATGCAAACTCACCAGCCTCACATTCTCTTCTAGAGCCATCTGGGTCCAGTGGCAAGATATAGAACAGGGCGACTGCACATGGCCCTGGCTGCAGTGGGAGACCTTGGCCTTTTTAGGCTAAGATCTTTAACAAGTCTCAGTTTGACTGAAGCAAAACCCATTCAATGATTAAGGCTAGGTAGGAAATGAGGCAAAAGATGACCTCTTCACCTAGTAAAAAACAAAAACAACAAGTTGAAAGGTGAAGACTCTCAGGGTTTCTGGCCAAAACGGAAACAATTGCTATTTACCTTCATTCTGAAAGGGTCCAAAGACTAAGTGGGGCTTGGCCTGGGACCTATTGTTGACCAATCATTGAGAGCCAGGGTGATTTGGGTTTAAGGCATGGTTCTGAAAAAAAAAATCTAGCCTATAAACCCGAGGATATGTTGTGATGTTTCATGTGGATCCAGTGGCAAAATATAGATCAGCATGACTGGGGAAGGCCCTAAACAGCAAGAGAGTCAAAGGACAAAATGTGCTTTCTGGTGTTTAAAACAATACAAGCGCTGCCAACACATGATGAGATTAGTGGGGCAGGGAACTTGAGCTGTGTCTTAAAAGATTTGATTAGGTAGAAAGGAGAACATTTCAGTCCCAGGAAAGGTCATGAACAGAGTGCGCAGGCAAGAGAATGTTAGGACTTGTGAATAGATTCTTTGGGTTGGAAGAGAGTTCCTGTGGGAGAGTAGTGGCTGGAAATATGAGATTGTGGAGGGCTTTGAATACCTGGTTAAGGAATTTTGATTTTATCACAGAATCACAGAGTTAGAAGGGTGCTGAAAGTTCCGTTTCAACCGATATTAGACTTAGATTCCAATCTGTAATATCTCTAATGAGAAGTCACCTGGTCTTTGTTTGGAGACTTCAAATGAGGAAGAATACACTAACTCCATTCCACCATCAGAACTTCTTCCTTATGCCAAACCCAAACCTACTTTCTTTATTCTTTATACCTATTGTACAGTGGTTTTGCCTGCTACAAATGGGCAGAAAAAGCCTAATCCTGACAGCCCTTTAAATACTTGAAGATGGCTCTGATGTCTCTCTCTGGCTTCTTTCTCTAGGCTAAATATTTCCAGTTTGTTCAGCTGATCTTCATATGACCAGATCTCAAAGCCTTTCTCCATTCTGCTGCTCCTCTTCTGAATCTTGGCCTAAAATGTGATGCCAAGAACTAAACACTGCCTGCCATATGGGGTCTGAATAAGGCAAAGTACAGCAAGATTGTCACTTCTTTCCGTCTGGACACTGCTCTCTCAATGCAGCCCAAGATAATGTCTTTTTCTAGTTGCTGTGTTGTACTACTAACTAACGTTGAGGGGTTTTAAACACATGAATGGTATCAAAGGAGACGTTTGAAAAGAAATGCCTCAAATCTGGAACTTTAGAGCTCAGAGGAACTTCAGAGATTATTTAATATAACCATTTCACTTTAGAGATGTGAAAACGGAGGTTTAGATAGTTTAAGTGACTTATCCAAGGCCACACAACTAGAGGCAAAGCTGAGACTAAAAACAAGTCCCAGCTAGATAGCAATGCAATGCTTGTTGCTTCCATGACACTGTCCATCCATCTTGTCCTCTGCTGTCCCCTTCTCCTTTTGCTTTCAGTCTTTCCCAGTAAGTCCTGGCTTCTCATTATGTAGCCTAAGTGTTTAAGCTTCAGCAAGTGTATATGTACATATATGCACACACACACACACACACACACACACACACACATGAAATCTCACAGTTCCTCTTTTATATTCTAGGGTTGTCGAATGTCCTGTATGCTGAGGATTGCCCCTCATGTCACTGTTTGCTTCCATCAACTGTGAAAGGACTATTGGAACTGACTTGTGTATGATGCCATTTTTTTTTACCTCATCCCCTTCATTTATTCCTTGTTCGTTACCAAAAACTTAAGCTGTGACTTCTGGCCTAGAAGAACCTGCTAAAAGCATTGATATCCAGGTATGGTGCGAGCCCCTAACATAGGAAAGTTATAGTAGTGGGTCCCCAGAAGTAGTTATGGGGCAAATAAAAATTAAGTAATTGGTAGGGAGAGGGCAGGGACAGACTTTCACCTTTTGTCTGTGTGTCCCTAAGTGGGGACAGGTGATGCCTCCAAACATTTCAGTGTGCTTACATCTGGAGGAAGCTCACTTGCGCAGTGAATAGAGTTCCAGTCCTGGAGTCAGGAAGACTCATCTTCCTGAGTTCAAATCTGGCCTCAGACACTTTCTAGTTGTATGGCCCTGGGCAAGTCACTTAACACTGCCTCAGTTCCCTCATCTGTAAAATGAGCTGGAGAAGTTAATGACAAACCACCCCAGTATCTCTGCAAGAAAACTCCAAATGAGGTCACAGTCTCAGATATGAACCGAACAGCAACAGCACACCTCTGAACTTGAACAGGGGCGCACTTGAGCTAGGTCAGGACCAACGTCCTAGTTCATTGTTGACCAGGAAGAGCTGTGCAGCAGGGTAGAATGGAGAGCAGGCAAAAGAAATTGTGTAAAAGCAATTTTCAAAATTGAAATTTGTTAACACTAGCTATTTATGTACGTCCAGAAGCTAATCTTTCAACATAAACGTTCTTTAATGCTTGTCTCTCTAGTTTTCCTCAAACGTTTAGTCCAGTAAAGGCAAATTTCAAGTACTTAGAATATTGTTTTGAAGGAATGCATTATCTCATGCTCATTTAACTGTGGCAAGTCATTTATTTGTCTTATTCTTTCTGCTCAGCAGGTGGCATTTTTGTTCAGTGATTCAATTTATAGCCACATGTGTTTATCTAGTATGACATTTTAATCATGCAAATTAGGATATTCTTAATGAAGGAAAAATTAATTTTGCAACTGCTTGTGGGTTCACAGTGACAGCTTTGTTAATGCTCTCACATCTCTAATACGGTCAACAACTTCTCCATAACTGCTGCAAATTGGAACATTAACATGCAGGCTAAAGGTTAGAGAATGAAACGCATGCTATTCTCCTCTTCTATGTTGATGTTGCCATAGGTTATTTATTTCAGAGTGGGCATTTTTAGGGTACTATTTCAAAATTATGCTTCTCACTCCTCCATAATTACCTCTTTCTTTCTGACAATTTGCATCGAGGCTCACGATGCACCACTCATTAGGGGTTCTTTGGACAAGGCAGAGGGAACGTGGAACCCAGCCCCCTCTGAATAGTCTGTCTTTACCTTCGAGGGTAAAGACAAATGCAGACTTCTCTATTTGAGAACACTGCTTTCAGGAGTGACACAGTGAATCATTCGTTCTCCCCAAGTATCTACCCTACTCATTCCCTTGCATGACTTCACTCATGAAATTTGAGCTGGGGCAGCAGTGTAAGCCTCTTTCTGAGCTGTGGGTGTTGGTCCAGATTCTATCAGTGCACTGACTTGTAGGAAATTCAGAAATGTACTTGTCACCTGTTTTCCCTAGTTGCCCTTTGGTTCACCCTGAATTTTACTTGGTGGTACCTGGGCCGATTGCTAATCTGCTTATTCCTATCTGCTTTCAGTTGTGTAACAGTTCTTTTAACTTAGTAAATTAAATCCAAAATCAGAGTATATTTTGAGTGCTGTTGAGCATTACCCTAATCACAGCAAACATACTGTTGTGTCATCCTGGAAATTCTGAATCACACCACATTTTGTCAAAAGTCAAAAGACTTAGCTGAACCTCCAAGAGGAAATGGTCTTCTCTGGTATATGCCCTGATAATTCTGTCCTATTCCATCGTGGGTTGTAGGAGAGAGCACAAAGAAGTTCATTTCAAACTTCACCTTTTATTTTATTTACCACATACCTTGAGCAAATCAAGGAATGGACTTCCAATTTTTCTAAGCAAATGTAGGGCATTCTTATTCCACTCTCTTATACCATAGGAGGAAGGGGTGTTGAAGAGGACCAGCACCTCTGGTGTGAGCACTTGCTGAGCCCTTTTCAGGGCTGCTCATCCACCTTTGCTGTTCACAACACCTGTGTTCTCAGCTCTCACATGTGGCCCCACAAAGCTGTAGCATGCACAGCAGCCACACCCTGGTAAACCGTCTGGACAGATAAGCTAAATTAGGCTGTAGGTAACAGACAGGCCTTAAACCCATAGGTGAGTTAGGGGCATGTCTACCCCAAGCACATGAAGACTTCCTCCAGCAGAATGGGCTGATGAGAACAATTTGTTCCAATAGCCATCAAGGCTGCTGAATCAGGTGCTGTGGAACCCTTGGAGCTTGGTCAGACCTCAAAGACCCCATTCACTACATTCCAGAACATTGCCAGTTGTCCTGACTTTTGTCTTGCCACTGGATTTTAATGACTCTGGGAGAGAAAAATGAGGCTGACAATGTCTTGCAACTCTGCCTCATTTAAATCCAATTCACCCAGGAGTCAAGATGATGGAATCCTTAATAAAGCTGCCCCTAGCCCCAAGATTCTAACTTCCTTTTGGGCCTCACTGAACAGCAGGCATGTCCTGATTTAACCACACAATCTGGCTTTAGCCACACCACAGGCCCCCAAACTCAATCATAGCCCTCACTGAACAGCAGGCCAATTACCCCTACCTAGCCACTGCCCCCCACCTCGACTCAATATCCTAACTTCCTTATATATGCCTCACTGCCTGACTAGAACAGCAGGCATGTCCATTGGATGGAATTCCAGCCACTTTCCCTAGACCCATTCCTCATATTTCCCACAGAAGCAGCAGGTGTGTCCATGCACTTAACCACAACCACATCCATCTAATCTCAGACAGGATCACAACAGCCAGCCAATCAGAAAGGAGCAACACCTGGATGCGCTAGCAGGATGTGGACCCCAAAACAACAGAAGGGACTTTCCCTAAGCAAAAGCTGTCCTGTAGGTCAACATACGACGTAGAGAGGCTTGTTATAATATCATTATCATACATACTTCCAATGGGTTTTTCTGTATGCATTGTGGGTAATCACATACACAGTTCCACTGAGGCTGGGACCCCTTCCCTATTACCTAATCCCTTCACAAACTCTTCTGGACTTTTTAATGTTCATAATTTCTGTTGTGTAATTAGCAACATTATGCTATAAAATTGCCTGTCTTGTCTTGCTGAAGTTGCCAGTTCCTTCTTGGAACTCAGCCTGTTTTTGAGAGGCCTTACTCTCAATAAATGCCTTTGCTTGGATTGGAGATGATATGAGTCTGTGAATTTTTTCAAGATGACCCCCACAACACACCATGAAACCACAACAAAGACATCACCCTGTGATGTCACAGGTCCTTTTTGAAAACGAAGGACAAACAACAACAGCATCTTACACTATGTAGGAGTGTAAATGGGGCCAACTTCAGGTAAAATTGCAAAATAGGCCAAGTTAGTCCCTAGTGTCTTTTCACAATTCCCCTTTTTAATGTTCTCTTCCACCACCATCCCTCCCCTAGTTCATAGTGCCCTTATCCCTGATAGTCAGGGTGTCCCACTATGATGCCATACCTTGGGTGAAGTAGTATCCCATGATTCTTCTTCTCCCATGATCCCCTTCAAAACTATGTTACATCTTATTCCCTTAGTGTTTCATATGCTCATTTGCACAGAGTGATATGGTTAGCCCTTAGTAAGGGATGGCAGTAATGCTGAGAACTTAAGGTAACTGATAACAAGCTAAATTAGAGGTAGAAAGGAAGAGCTAATTCTCGACTTTTCCTAGTCAACGGGAGATAATGTGATTTCATAAACTAGATTTATGTCCTTAACTAGATTCTCTGGTATGCTATTTCCCTATTTTTCTTCTTGCTCTCCCCTACCCCTTCCGTACATAGCACCATTCTAGACACATAGAAATTGCTGTTTAATAGACTTAATATGCCCTGGTTTAGTCTATGGAAAGTGCATATGGTAGATCCATGGTATATCCATGACTTTGGAAACTGATAATAGATCATAGAATTTGGGAGTTGGAAGAATCTTTGGAGGCCACCTAGTTCAAACTCCTCATTTTGACAGATGTGGTCTTCAAAGTTCTTAGACATCAAATGGCTTGCACTAGGTCACACTGAGAGTTAGGCAGCAGCAGGCATGATCTTAGCTCTGGCATATAAGGAGTGTGACTTGAAGGAGGCTGAGGAGGGAGCTCACCTACAAACAGCTCATGTCATTGAGCCAGAAATTCCCATTAGGCACTGTTTGGATCTTAATGCTTTTCCTTTCTTTGGGAAACCCCAATAAAGTGGCAAATGCAAAGAGTAATGGCCCAGCAAGGTCAGCTAACACTTTGTTGTGGAGAACAAACAACCCCACTGAGGAAACTCTTTGCACCTATGTAGGGTGGCACCTTCTCTGTATTAGGTGCCTAGCATCACTGAGAGATCACACAACCAGTATATGTCTTCCTGACTGAGAGCAGTTCTCTAGCCACTGTCCCACACTGCCTTCTGTGAGAAGAAAATAAACTATAAATAAGATGCCTGGTAGGTGGAGGTAAATGGATAGAACACAGGGGATAGGTTCCTGTCGCAAAGATGAACTTGGCCTACTTCACAGTTTTGCATAGGACTGGTCTTGGCTTTGGGACATATGAGGCCAATCTAATAATCCCTGCACTGGTAGGTCCCCACCCTCCAGTTAGAGGATATGCTGAGGTATACAGTAGGTACTTCAATTCTCACTGTGTTACTTGCTGTTAAGAGTTGATGGACTGTTAGAAATTTATGAGTTTTTTGTGGGGTAGGGGAAGGAGAGAGAAGGAATGGTTCAGATCTATGATTTGATCAATGTATCGAATTCCTAGTGTGGAAATGCTCTCTGCCTCCACGGGTAGACAATGCTGTAATTTATGGCCTTTGCTATTTGCCTAAGGTACTGAAAAATTAAGTAACATGGCCATGGTAATCCAGCTAGGAAGTATCACAGTCAGTACTTTGACTTCAAGACTCAGTGTTGTATCCAAACTGGCCTTCTGTCTACTATGTCATGCTATCAATA